GCTTCTGGTTCCTTTGAAATGTTTAGAGCATATCCCTATTAAGCATAATTTTAACATTTTGTACATCATTCCTGCAGCCCTTTAAGACAGTGGTTAAATTTAATAAGTCTAGGGAATGAGGATCACTCTAATGCCTTTTATTTCTTCATGTGCTTCATCCATAAGGATGTGGCATGTTTTTATAGAGAAATGTCTAAGGCACTCATTATGAAGTTAAAATCACCTTTCCCAAATTCTGTGGTTTGAAAGAAATACATTTGGATTTTTATTGGTAGGGTATTAAAGCAAATACAGGCAATCAAATATAAAGCAAACACTTATTTTTTTTTCCGTTTCCTTTTGTATGCCTTAATTCAGTTTGGTGCAATTAATTGTTAGCAGATACTTTATATGAAATACATGTTTTGGGGTAGGTGGGGAAACCTTACACTGTAAAGCAAAAGTGGTGTCCTTTGCTCTTTCAGATAAGGAGACAAGGAGGCATCCAGCTCCTGGTGGACCTGTTGGATCATCGGATGACCGAAGTCCACCGTAGTGCCTGTGGAGCTCTGAGAAACCTGGTATATGGGAAGGCTAACGATGATAACAAAATTGCCCTGAAAAACTGTGGTGGCATCCCAGCACTGGTGAGGTTACTCCGCAAGACGACTGACCTGGAGATCCGGGAGCTGGTCACAGGTTAGAATCATTATTAAATTATTATACTTTATCTCAAGGTAAACTTTCCATTATCCAACACAGAGGCAGATGTGCTAATCAAATAAATATTGTGGTGTTCTAATAACGTAGGCAGTCTCAATATGTGTTTTCAAATGAGTAAACAACTGAAGAAAATGGTATCAGATGTGACACGCATGGATTGATCATATTCAATAATCCAGTAAATGTAACCCTCACTAAAATTCTGTGATCATAATCAGCTTTTGTCAGTGGATTTAGAAGTAGTTGAGCGTCGTACAATACCCAGGGCTCTTTGTTGGAATAGCATTAATAATAATTGATCAAAGGACAAGGCGTGTCCGTTTTTGCTAATAAGGTATATATGTCTGGTTAGCAACAGACAGCTTATCCTACTTGGCAGTTAATTTTTTGAATGAAATATTCATGTCTATTAAAAGTCACAATTATTACATATTAAGGAATTTTTAAAGAGTGAACATGAAAGCTTTTCCATGATTGTAGGACTTTTGGGTTTTGTAAAATGGAGATAATTATAGTAGCCACACTATGGTCATGAGGGCTTAAGAAATGAGATGCTGTAAAACATTTGACACGTATGTGGAATACATGTGAACACAGTCAGTGTTAGCCATGAGCTGTCATCCCTCCCTTTTAAATATGCAGTGTTACTTGGAGTATTAATGGCCCAGGTGGCCTCAATACAGCATTTCAAATTACTCTGCCGCTTACTCATCTTAATCATGCTCACTATCATTCGAGGTGATATTTGGTTTTCAGTTCATCAAAAAGTACCCCATCAGCAAGTATTTAGCAAATGGATTGCGTAGTTGACTGTCTAAAAAGATCTTTTAATTATCTGTGATTCAATCGACCTTCTGTCTTAACTCTAAATTTTCCTTGTAGCTATGCTGATGAAGTAGATGAAAATGTATTTTTTAAGAAAATACATTATTCAAGCTAGAGAGTCACAAATATTTATCCAGTTCTGGGTCAAGACTCCCAACTTTCGTATATTTTCTTAAATATACACTCTTTGAGATTATTGTCACATTTCTTTCTCACTCTTAGTTACATTAGAACTAGATGCAAATTGTTTTTTTTTCTTTTATTTTGTCTTTCCGTAAGTAGAAAATCGTCTTTGTGGAAAAAATAATAATTGTTAAGAATTACCGTACTACTAAAGCAATATTTCACACTAAACTAATGTGGGAAGACATGAGTCAGGGAAAGTAAAAGTATTTTTATCTACGCAGTGTGATGTCTATGATAGTTTAGGGGTGAGTTATGTAACTGAAAGTATTTCCTACCATTATGGTTATGAACAACCATCCTTATATTTGTGGGTTTTGCTTAAGTTGGAACTGCCTGCAAAAGAAAGAGCTCAGTGCATGTGATGGGGACAGGAGGCAGTAAGACTCCACCAACAGATACATGAAGCCATGAGAAATGAAGACCAGCAGACCCCTTCTGTGTACACTGTATGGATTCATTTATGATTTGAGAATAATTGGATTTGACTAAAATTTAATTTTGCTCCAACACAAAATTCATTGTCTAGAAGAACCCCTCTGTGGTGGCTTCCCTGATTGCCAAAGAAACTCAGCCATGTGTCAAAGGTTGAGATGAATGATGGCTTAAAACAGAATGGAAATGCCATACCCCTGACACATGACATCTTCTGCAGTATATACCTTATCCTGTGCTGACATTTGAAGCAGCTATAAAGAACTGACCACTGTCTACTCCATTGCCTTCAACATTGCTTCTGACAGCTTCTGGGTGTCAGCTGTTCACAAGTGCCAAGGCAACATCAGAAATTCCTATGTGAGCCCCATTTGGAAAACCAAAGGCGTAACCTCTTGTTTCTTTTCCTGGTGAAACATGGGCTGTAGGAATGATGCTTGCTTGATGTACGGAGAGGATACACTCTTACTCCACTTCTTTTAAGAAGGAGGAGGTTTGCACCCACTGTCATGTTTGGACCCACTGTGTTTTCATCAGCATGTGCTAGGAGTTTGAGGCTCTCTCTGTGTCTCCTCCTAGAAGAAATACCGTGATAGCCACATCCATTAAGAAGGACAGTGGTTGTTACTTCAATAGATGTTTTCTGCCTTTCCAGAAGCATGTTCATATTGTGCTTGGCTGAACTTCAGGCATCAGTTTCACCTTTTTCAAAGAAAAACATATCAGAACATGTTGACAAGCTGAAGTTCATGGTTTCTGAAGTTGCCATCATGGATTCTTGAGAAAATCCACAAGCCCCTTGGCCAAGCTTCCACTCTAGTAAAGGAAATTGGAAGAGAGTATCTGGGAGAACATTCTAGCGTGGAAGCAATTGCTCCTGTAAGCCAGTCTAGTGATTGGCTCTAGACAAAGCCTTCTGAGTTTCCTTACTGACAGAAACCTGAGGGGGCCTGGAAACCTGCAGGACTCAGCTAACTTCTGCACAGACGTTGCCTCAATGATGTAAATCAAGCCAAAGCCAGCTTCACCGCCTAAAGCAAAAGTAAAATGAGGCAAAAGGAATTCACCTCAGACAAAGCTTGGATTCTGTTGACCAAGCCTGGGATGCCCTCAGTTGACCACACAGTGCCGCCACAGAGATGCCTACACCAGTGCCCACTGCCCACTGCAGGGTGAGGCTCTGATCTGAATGGTCAGGTGTGTGCAGCACTGGCTGCTAAATATTTAAAGCAATGGGCCTGACAAACAAGACCACATTTTAGGAACTTGCTAGATGAGCAGCAAGGGAGTGGATGACTCTGAGAGGTGGAGTAGTGTGTACAAGAAGAAGGGCTGGCTTCACATCTGTTGTCACAAGGAGCCGCTGCAAATCTGTTTAGGAATTAGGTCAGATATCCATGCATGGATTAAACAAAACGATGATCTAAGTGTAACAACTATACCCCTTACTTCCTTTGCAATTCTCCCGTGCATCTAATACAGAACTCAGCGAAGAATAACGACTCAGTATGTTACAGGAGCCCCGCCATACAGGGGAGTTTTTCTGATCACTTTCCTGCCTATTATCTCACGGATGAGAACAAATGTTGAACAAAAAATTACATGGGAAGGCAGGGTGAGGTCTCCCTTTGAATTTCTTACTTATTCGTAGACTAGGATGTATTATAAACAAATATTCAAAAGAACAATTTTAGTGATTTTTAAAAAACTAAAGCATAGTTTATAAACCAGATTTTAGATTAGACCCAGCTATATATCCTGAAGAACCTATGATGTCAAGAGTGCCAAATTATAAATAAGAAAGAAATTATCTTGCAAAGCTTTACATTATGTGTTGAATATTGCTCGGCAAACTATTCAAACCATGATAAAGTGTTGAAACTGAGATGTTTACATACATTTACATCCAACACATAAACATGCACGCTGAAAAAAACAGCTGCCTGTTTTCACTGCAGTATCTCTTCACAGTAGAATATATTTTGCTGCCTGCTACGTCTTGCAATAAATAATTTTCTTCCTATGCAATAATTACTATGAGATGATGATGAGAATTTTTGTTAAATCCAGTCGAAGCTATTATATGCTAGCCATTGCTTGAAAAGCTCCTAAGCAAATAAAATTTGATTAGAAATGCTTCACATCCTTTGGGCCTGACTCATGTAATTTTTCTCTCTCTAAATGTGGAAATAATGGACCAAAATTTTGAGTATGCCCAACTAAAGATTTCAGAATGCTTTACAAATCATAATAAAATGGTTTTTATTAAACTGTAGAACTTAGTAAATAAGTGTTATTTTGGTGAAAGCACGTGTCTTGAGAACTGTGCTTCTCCAGGAGAAGAGTATGTTTGTCCACCTGATGCTTCGCATATCCAGATGGTCTTTCCTTTTAGTTAAGGAGTCAGGCTGAGGACTCAACCTTGTCCTTCATTTTGGGCATCATTAATTCCCTCCTTTCTCCATAAAAGTCCCTTCCAGAATCCTCTGTCTTCGGGACGGATTTGGATTTTGCTCTCTAGACCTGCACGGCAATCCTGGATTAGAACTTCTGTTTCCAAGATCCTGTGCCCTCTTCTCTCTTGTTTTTCTCTCTTACAAGTTCCTGAAAAGGGATGCTTAGGAGATTAAATTCTGAAAAAATAAGTCTTTAACCCTCACACATGAGTGATGGTTACTAGATACACAATTCTAGATGGAAAATTATTTTTCTCAGGAATATTTTGTATAATTTAATTTTAGACTTAATACTATTAAAGTCTCTTGTGATATATGCGGTGTTGCCTTTAAAAAAAAAAAATCATTGAACATTTTCAGTTTAAAGAGTCATGACCTTGTTCAGTGCCAGAAAATTTTCTTCTTTTTTAAAATAATTTCTTTGTCTTCATTTCCTCTGTCCTCTTTTTCTGAAATTAGTCAGATTTTGAGCCTCTTGGATTATTTCTCTTGTATTTTCTTATATAATTTGGAGTCTTTGCCTTTTAATCATATGTTCTGAAAGAATTCTCTAGTATCCAACATTTATTTTCCCCCAATTTTTCTGTGACTTCCATGCTCCCACTACCAGGGGCCCAAGAGGGTATCATCTTTTGAAAAGAAAAAATCTGGAGCTCTTTCCTTTCGCTGCTGCGGCCGCAGCCATGAGTATGCTCAGGCTTCAGAAGAGGCTCGCCTCTAGTGTCCTCCGCTGTGGCAAGAAGAAGGTCTGGTTAGACCCCAATGAGACCAATGAAATCGCCAATGCCAACTCCCGTCAGCAGATCCGAAAGCTGATCAAAGATGGGCTGATCATCCGCAAGCCTGCGACGGACCATTCCCAGGCGCGATGCCGGAAAAATACCTTGGCCCGCCGGAAGGGCAGGCACATGGGCATAGGTAAGCGGAAGGGTACAGCCAATGCCCGAATGCCAGAGAAGGTCATGTGGGTGAGGAGAATGAGGATTCTGCGCCGGCTGCTCAGAAGATACCGTGAGTCTAAGAAGATTGATCGCCACATGTATCACAGCCTGTGCCTGAAGGTGAAGGGGAATGTGT